TGAGAAGAGTAGATGAAAAATCCTTGTATTTCTAGAGTTGAAAGAGAAAGTTTCAACACCATACAGTAGAGTGCAGCACTGAAAATTGTGAGTTAATGATAGCTGAGTTAGTTAGTGTACCTATGCATGGAAGTGTTAGATACTGTATGCAGGGACTAGTTTGAGACTAAAAAGTAGCATAGCCTACTTAGCAAAGCATTGCACTAGATCAAATCATAAAGTGTTCTCTAAGAGCTAATAATTAGCTCATATACTGAGCTGTATTAACACAATTGTATTTCATTTATGCTATATGAAAAGCCTGAACATGGATGGTTCCACCACAGTGCTGGTGTAGTTGGTATTGCCGTGAAAGTTTCTTCAGTAATCTCCACTAGGTGGTATGGACAAGTCCAGTGACATCCACCAGCACAGCTTTACCATATTATTTCAAATTTGCATTGTGCTTTTCTGACTAGAGTTCAAATAAATAAAACCTAGATTGCAATTAATATTCCTCCAGCTTTGCAGTTACAAACGCTTGTAAATAGTACGCTTATGCTTGCTACTATTTTAGAAATTCTGTATTTGTATCCTATATCTCTTCTATCTTTTAATATGAATTACAATTACACTCACACGTGAATTATAATTACATTACAAATAAGACTTTTAGAGGCTTTTGAAATGTACAAATAAAGAATTTTTTCAAAAACTTATTTGAATACTTACATATGAATCAGATTATATCATTTAAGTGCAAGAAAGCACAACTGCAGGTATCAAACAGAGCAGTTGCATAACCAGCTACCAGATACTGTTGCCCTGCCTTCAGCTCAGAAGGAACTAGAAATACCCCACTGTCCATGGATGCTGCTAAAAAAAAACCCAGTCAGTTGATTAGGAACTTGGATAATCCATGTTAAAAGTCAGTCTTAATAGTGTGGATCAGGATAGGTAAATACTGAAGAAATGCAGACTTGATTCAGAGACAGTTGTGCATGTCGAGCTCTAACTACTACTTAAGAAATTCAGTTATTAGTGGTGGCCCCAATCTTCCCAAATCTCTGCTTGTGGATAACGGTGACAGAGCCCTTCCAGAGCCATATGAATGGAAGCAGGATTTTTTTATATCTTCAAATCCAATTTTAGGCTTGAACAAAGTCAGCTGTTGTCTGTGTGGCAGCTGAGAAACAACTGTCTCTGCCCGTGTTAGCACATACATGCAGTTGACTTGCAGTGTGTAAATGACCGGACCAAGCATATCAGTTATGTGAATGAGAATTGTTTTCAGTGTTCATTATTCTCTGTTTTCAATGTTCCTGGGGATCCTGAAGCAGTCTGAAAATCTGAAGCATTCCTACAAGAGGAAAAGGAAAGCTGAACGGCCCTTGTGTGCTCCTAGATATTAGCTTTCTCCTGTTTTCCCTGGTTCTAGTCATGGTTTGAATGTGCTGCATAAAGAATATTGGCTCAGTCTACTCTCCATCTGAGGCAAACGTATTCTGGGTGTTTCCATACACAAGTAGTTTTTTGCAAGTGCTAAACCTTGAATCTATGTTGTAGGTAGCTTTGTCTCCAGTCTTAACCAGTCCCAGTCTCTTGGACAGACCTTGGACCTATGTTACAGTCATGTCCCTTGCTATTCTTGCCTGGGCTTCTTGAATGGACATGGGCTTGCCTCCCTACCTCACCTTGTGTCACAAATCACTGAAAGGCTGATGGAGCTGATTGCTCTCACCACCGTGGCCCACCTTAGGTATTGCAAATCTGCACCCTGGTGAGTTAGGGGACGGCCTTGCCTGTGCTGTTGTCACCCTTGGTGCCTGACTTTGGTGGAGTAACGTCACTCTCACTGCTCCCTGACGTCTGTGTATATACTCTATAGTGTGAATATATATGTATATAAAGTGCAACTATGAGTAAATAAGTAACATATTATGCCTATTTGTATAGTCCTTTATATCTGTTTATATGTATACATACATTTATTTTTCTATATTCTACATTACATATTCTGTGTTCTTGTACGGGGTTGTGGTGCCCAGGTGCTGGCAGTGGGGGCTGCAAGGACAGTCTCTGTGAGGAGAGGCCGGGGCTGCCCTGTGCTGGACACAGACGGTTCCAGCCGGCTCCAACCAACACACCGCAGGGCACAGCTGAGACCCACAGCCGTGGGTGGGGTGCCTCTGCAAAAACACATTTAGAAAAGGCCAAACCCACAGCATAGGCTGTGAGGCGAGAGGGAAAAAAACTGTGAGAAACAGCCCTGCAAACACCAAGGTGAGAGGAGCAGGAGGAGGAGGAGGAGGTGCCCCAGGTTCTAGAGCAGAGATTTCCCTGCAGCCCCTTGAAAGCCCACACTGGAGTAGGTTTACTCTGAAGGACTGCAGCCCATGGAAGGGCCCAGGCGGGAGCAGGGGAGCAGTGTGAGGAGAAGGAAGGAGGGGCAGAGACAAAGTGTTACGGACTGACTGCAACCTCACATTCCCCATCCCGCTGCGCTGCTCGGAGTGTGTGTGAGGGAGGGAGATAGAGCAGCTGGGAATAAAGGAGAGGAGTTGAGCCTGGGAAAGGAAGATGGGAGGGAGATTTTCTTTGATTCTGACCATCCAAATCTATTTTAACTGGTAATAATTTACGTAGTTTTCCCCAAGTTGGATCTGTTTGGCCCATGACAGCAATTGGTAAGTGATCTCCCTGTCTTTATCTTGACCCGTGAGCCTTTTCATCTTATTTTCTCCCCTTGTCCTGTTGCAGAGGGGGAGTGAGAGAGCAGCTGGGAGGGCATGTGGTAGCCAGCCAAGGTCAACCCACCACAATTCTATAGTCTATAGTCTATATTGTTTATATCATCTATATACTACATATATCTATTTCTGCAGGTAGAAACCTATATACACACAAAAATGTATATTTTTTTTTATATGAACACTTCCTAGTTCAAAGGAAATAAGTAGCCAGTCAGAGGGTGTTTTGACATCATGTGGGTATGACAGTTTCAAAAAAAAAAAGACAACCATCCAGTTGCAGAGAAGGATGAAAATATGTGGGGGGTGACATAAAAAGAGTGGGTCTCTGGGTATATCATATCAGCAGCATCCCGCTCTGATGCCTTTCTGACGTAGACAGGCAGAGGCAGCTTGTCCTATCAGCCAGTCACAGGGCAGTATGTGAACAAGCAGCGTATGATGTTTTACAAAATGGCAACCCCTGGGGGCAGAAAGAGGTGAAGGGAACAGATTAGGTGACTGGAAGACATACAGGACTTTGGGACAAGTGGGACACATGGTGGGCAGTAGGGGCAGGGCTTCCCCTGCCATTAGGGTTGTGGTACCTGTCCCTTCTCATGCTGCTTTTGCCTTCCACCAAGCTCCCTCTGGTCTGATGCCTCTGTGCTGTGCCCTGGGGTCCCATCTGTGTGCACCACGCCAGGTGCAGTCCAGCAAAAGGGAACCATCACTGCCCTTCACATGCTGGCAGGGCTACAGGGCATGCAGCCCAAGATATGAGCAGTCTTCCTCCAATGTGGTTTTGGGCCTGCCCCGTACCATCTGCAGGACTTGACATTTGTTCCTATTGAATTTTTTGAGGTTCCTGTAGGCTTGTTCCTTAGCCTGTCCAGGCATCTCTAACCAGCAGCTCTACCCTCAGGTTCATTGACTGAACCCTTAATTTGGTGTCACGCATGGACTCGATGAGGTGCATTTCATCTCCTCTTCTGGTTAAAAATGTTGACCAGGGCAAGTCCGTGGATAGAATCCTAAGGAATTTGTCTTGCCACTGATCTCTAGGTTGAATATGAACTTTTGCCCTTCCTGATAAGCTCTTCCTGCTATATTTTTCATGTAAAAGTCTATTTGCTGAAGTCTCACAGTTTTAGTAGTAGAGCCACCAGGGCTGTTAGTGTGTCATTTGCTTTGAAGTTCTTGAACTAGCCTTGTCGGTAGTGTTTATCTTCTTCAGAAGGGTTTCTCATTGGAAAAATGTTACATCACATGCAGGACTGTTAAAGTTTTAATTGCTGGTTTGGGAGTTAAGGAGCTTAGATACAGCCTCTTGGCATGGCATCAGAGGAAATGACAGCTGGATGAGCTGGTACACAAGAGGGAATGTTTCTGGCTGTTAGTGGAAGAAATTTCAGTTTTCCTACTTTTCTCTTGTTTTCTGCATGACCTTAAGAGATGGTGAAAACTGTAGTGCAAACATATCAGAAGTCTGTCTTTCTGGTCTGTCCATCAGAGTTCATACATAATTTATTTTTGCCAGTTGTTTAAATGTTTAACATGTTACCAATAGTGGAAAGATGGATAAACATTGTACACATCAAAGTAATGGGCATTTTGCCAACATTTAAGCATTTAATCAACTGGGATTCAACTGTGCATCTTGTTTTTCAATTGTCATGACTTTTCAATTTTGCTTTTTTAAACTATATTTGGGGGCAGGAGTATATTTAAGCATTTAATCAACTGGGATTCAACTGTTCATCTTGTTTTTCAATTCTCATGACTTTTCAATTTTGCTTTTTTTTTATTTTGAGACTTCTGAAATTTTTTCTTGATCTGAATGGTGATACTAGAAATACTGTGGCAGTAGCTGTTTCTTCTGTATTTTTGTGTGTTTTGAATTTATGGAACACATTTAATGGACCATTTTTCATTGAAGTTACTGTTCCTCGCTCCAGTCATATGTCTAATTTTACTTTAATTAATGCATTATCAATTATGATACCTTTCTACTGCAGCACATAAGTTATATAGCAATCCATGAAACGTGAAACATTCAGTATGACAAGCTTCTATGGGAAATTATACTTAATAATGTGAGTTTTAGCTATTGATTTAACTGTGTTCAGGTTTCCTGTCATGAAATGATGATATTCACTTGACTAGGAAGAATTAACTAGTTAAACACATAGTACTTGTGATGAAAAAAGGCATATGAATGATAGAGCTAAAACTACATCTAGATTTACAGTTCAACTTGACGAGTCACTAAACACTGTTTTCTTTCTACAGATTTCTCTTGGTGCTGATTTGTTTAATATTCAGTGTACTATCTACTATAGAGCATTATTCTGATTTTGCCACTGGAACCCTTTTCTGGATGGTAAGTGAACTTTTTCTTGGGAAAAACTCTAATGAGTTTGACTAAATCTAAATTGCTTTAAGTGAATAAGGGAGGTAACTGTTAAAAATCCTCAGGCAAAGCATGCTACCAGGATATTTAAAATATTACCTGCTTTCCTTAAAGGAAGGTCATAGTTTGATGGGGATGGTTATTTTCTAGATCTGTAAACTATGATGGTACTTGATAAATTAACAGTTTTTATATACTTGTTTTTCATAAAGTATGAAACTATACCCTGTAGCTTTTATAGTGGACAACTGGTGTTCATCAGTCTTAGGCGCTGTGGAACAGGATATTCTATAGACAGGAGTGTATTTTTAAAACTTACCTCTTTTAAGTCTTATGGTAAAAAAATGGCCTAGAACCATGCTGTTCAGAAGTAACTGAATCTCGGGAGTAGGTGATTTCTGCCAGACTAGTTTGCCAGTATATAGAACAGGAATGAAGAGCTCCTATCACACTTCTACATCAGTGGTTTGGCTTTGAAGTTGGTGCTTGTTAACTGTTGTGGCTGTTAGCAATCTGCTAGGATGTCGGATTCTTCTTGAGCATACGTTAAGTTTTGTATTTGGTCTTTTGCAAGAGCATGAAGACATTATGTTGCTTACCTAATATCCTTTTCTTGCTATTAGGATCTTCAGTAGTAATTTAAACAACAGGTGTTGTGATAGAAAAATCTGCTCACTTGGAAGTATACAGAGTTGGCTTACTGTTTTCACAGTAGCCAGGAAACAATTCTTTTATCACTGGACTGAGTGGCTAATTTACAGATGAAATGTACCTGAACTATGTTACCAGTCCTGAGCTATTAAGGCTCTTAAAAATGTGAAATCACATCCAGCAACTGTTGCAACATATGTACAATATTTTTAAGTGTTAATTTGAAGGAGGTGGGAAAATAACAGTACAAATAATTTGCATAAAGACTCTAGACAATGCTCGTTCTCTGTTCCCCTTTGCCCCTCTTCACCTGTAGAAAGTTAAGAATGGAGATGAAGTATCCTTGATAAAAAATGGAGTAAAGAACTTTTAAACAATTGCTCACAATATCTGTATTTTATTCGCTCAAATCCTCTGATCTCAGTGTGTGATAATCTCAGTATTCTTAATGTAATTTCTTTTTGCTAAGTGGTGGCTTCTATTGTGCTGGATTTTGGTTTTCCACCTGGTTTGAAAATAAAAACGAGTTACTTACTCATTTCCCTGTCGCTTAGACTACATTAATATATGCAGCTTTTTTGTGCAATTGATTAAGCAATCATTAGGATCCCAGAGTTATTTTGGGATTTTGATTAATGTTAATCATAGCAAATGTTGCTTGGCCTTTAAGCCATATTCATTGTCAAGCAGAGTGCAGTATTCTACCAATCATATGTAGTCTTCTCATACTCAGTGAAGGATGTAGAGTGATTAAAAGTCAGTATAACCATCACCCGAAACAGTAATACTGGCAAGGATTCAATGCGTAGCTGATTGTTTTTGTGTGCGTGCTATGTGCATGTGCAGACGCATGCTATTGTTGGACAAAATATAACTAGATGAAGACAGATATGTGGTTCACATAGTGCCCACATAGCATCGCCGGCTATTTTTAAATGATGTAATCATCTAACAAATGAATCGTGCATAGTCAGTGGCAGTGCTGGAACAATTTCTTGGCCACCTTATGTTACAGACTTACCCTGGAGGATACCTCTCTTGAGTTTATTTTCCTCCCTGTTTCCTGATCTTCCTTCCTAGAAACAGCCAGCATAGCGATTAGCTGTTCTGTTGGCTACTGTAGATTCACGTACCTAGAAAGCATTTGTCTTAGAACTGTGAGTCTTAAGAATATGCTCTGAAATAAATTCACTTAAATTACAACACTTGAAAGAGTGCTTTTAGAGCTGATTAAATTACTTCTTTTTCGTAGAGTTGTGAGGTTTATTTCTAGTAGCTAAATAGACTCCTGCTTGGAGCACTTCTCCCCATGTTTACCTGAAAGAATTTCAAACCACATCTCCCATTTTAGCCAGGATAGTGCTAACCCCACAGAAGCCTGGAGATCATTGATCTTTGTAGTACATCATTACTCTGATCTACTTCATACCATAGTTGACTGTTTATGGAACAAGAGAGAGTTTCTCTTCCCCAAATATGAAAACAGATGCATATTTATTCTGCCTTCCATGCCACTCTGCTCTCTTGGAAGTGTTTGAGAACAGTGGAGACAGCCAGTATGGTGAGAAACAAAATTGAACCAACAAAGCTATTGGATCAAGTTCAAAATGAAATGGATTCGTTTCTTTCCTGGTTGAAGGAACCTGTAATTCTTTGTGTAGCTCTGTTAGTGCGTCAGTAGCAAATAGATACTAGTATGTGATGCTTGTGATATTTTCTCACTTGTGGAAAAAATGCTTTTCATTACGTTGGGGTAGATTAACAGTTGGGAAGGATCAACTTCAGAATTGTAATGTTGAAAATTGGTAAGGCCTGACAAGAAGGATAGTATTTGATACTTGTAGACACTTAAAAAATGTTTTTGTATTTTCTTAGACAGGGTGAGATGATGTGCCAAATAAGATTTTGGGTAATATGTGTCACTGAGGTAGATATGGCACATTAGTAACAGATATAACTGCAGATGTTTTGTAAGCCACTAAAGTCTTGTGTTTTAAAGACTAAATTTTTTAATCTTTTTAATATATCTGGGTGGTGTAAGATAATTTCTTCTCAATTATGAAACCTATCATCATTCAGACAAGCTATGTGAATGTATCAAGGAGAGAATATCATATCAAGAAGGCCTTTCGAAGTAGTTTTTGTAATTTGTATGGAAAAAGGGGGCTGAAGAAGCAGTTGCTAGAACTTAAAGTAAAAAAAACCCCAAACGCTTACTCCCCTCCCCACGAAGCATATGTTTTCAAGTCTGAAAATTCAAGTGAATTCTGGAGGAAAAAAAATATGACTTTTTGGCCCTGTGTTTGAATGTTAAGGCCAATCTGTCATCTTTGAGACTCTTGAAGACGTTGCATAGCTACAGCTACTGTTACAGGCTGATGCTATGCCTCCCCAAACGCTGTAAATTGCTCTGTTTGATGCCCTTGCTTGGGCTTAAAAGAAACTTCTGTTCTTCGCGTTTATGAAGAAAAGTCCATGTGCGTATGTCCATCTGATCATCGTTGTGGTAAAATCAGTTTACTTCCGTGGTAGTAAGACTGGTAAAATTTGTCTTGAACTTGCAAATGCTGTCATTTGAAGGAGGTTTTTTGTTATCATATACCAAATATTTTGTGTATTCATGACCACTCTTGGAAGGGTTTTTGCCAGCTCTGTCTGAGATAATCTAATTTAATTTTTTTCGTGTACATACATTGTGTGATCTTTGTAAATTTCTGGTTATTCTTTTTTTTTCTCTCCTCTGACTGTTTGGCAAGCCAGCAAATGAGGGAAGTGGCAGTGGCACTGGCACAATGAAACATGCTGATAAACACCAACAGAATAAATAGTGAAGAACATAATTCTTCCTGAACTTTTTATACTCGCAGAGAGGAGCTTTGAGTTTCAAATAGTGTTTAAAACGGATCACGAGACTCCTAGGTAGAACAACAGTGTACATGATATTTCACAATCCACAAAGCTTAAATGCACTTGCAGTTGTTTTTTATTCAGATTGCTGTGTATAGTGTGGGCTATGATAAGGAATCTCTAGATTCCCCTGCTTTCCTTGGTCCTGGATCTGTACTGTTGGGAGCTTTTTAACACTTGTCTATCCATCAGTATTTAGGATCTGCTACTTGACAAAGTTCTTGTACAACATCTGGGGAAACAAGCACCGTGGAATCAGCCATGGTTGTGAATAAAATGTTTGCAACACTTAAGGCAATGCTACTTTACCACCTGCCTTCTAAACTTGCACTGCCTTCTTTTCTCTTCAGCTCCTGCAGACATTGGAATTTTCCAAGCAGTAAGGACAAATGGGGTTTTCCAAAATAATTGTGGCCACTGTAGTTACAGATTGCATAATAGGAGGGAATAACATCTCCACTTGCCATAGCATGCAAATGCTGGATCTCACAGAACTCTAGAACTGTGTGCCTTTGTGGTTTCTTCTTTTCATACAGTCATAGAATAATCTGGGTTGGAAGGGACCTCAGGAGGTCTCTTCAACCTCCTGCTCAAAGCAGGGTCAGTGATGAGATCAGACCGGGTTGCTTAGGACATTATCCCACTGGGTCTTGAAGACCTCCCAGGATGAAGACTGCTTAGCCTTTCAGGGCAGCTTGTTCCAATGCCTGACCACCCCTCATGGTGGAGAAGGTTTTCCTTATATCCAGTATGAACCTCCCTTTTTTCAACTCTGGTTTGTTGTCTTTAGTCCTTCTGCCATGGTGTTTTCTTTCACCTTCCTGCCATGCACTGCTGTTAAGAACCTGGCTCCATCTTCTCAGTAACCTCCTTGTGTGTATTGAGAGGCAGCTCAGAGGTCCTCCATGCATTCATTTCTCCATGCTGAACAAATCCAGTTCCCTCAGCCTCTCCTCACAGGGCATGTGGTCCAACACCTTGACCACTTTGATGGCCCTATGCTGAGCTTTCTCCAGTTTATCAAAGACTTTTTTTTGTAGTGGTGGAAAAAACAGGTGCAGTATTCTGGATGCAGTCTAATGAGGGCTAGGGAAAGGGGGATAATCACTTCGCTTGCTCTCCTGTTGTTAGCTTTCAACACTTCCTTGCATTTGGAAGAGATTGTCTTTAAAGACCTGCTATCTATCCTGAGCTTGTTGACCCTTCAGAGTTAGCTCCCATGGGATCCCACCTATCAGTTCCCTGAATAATTAATTTGCTTTCCTGAAGTATAGGATCTATACTTCCTTCAGGATCTTGAATTACATTATTTCTTGGATACTTCATCCAAGACATTGTCATCCATTACTCTATCCTCAACTATTTTTTCCTTGTATATCTGAACAGCAGATCCAGCTGTGTTTCATTCCCAG